GACGCAGAAGGACATGAGGGACGCCTGTCTCAGCCCGGGGGGTCCACTGTGAGAAAAAAACTACAATACAATCTGATGTAATATGGGATGAGGCTCATTGTTAACATTACCAAGATACAAGGTACAAATACAAATACTAAGATATTTACTAATTTAATTCCTTAATAGTAATGTAATATGAATACTCCACTAAAGTAAAGGAAACGGCACTGTAAATTCAACACAAGCTAAAATGTTCAATTTAATTTAAGTTTGCTTTTATGAAACAATATTGAAGCGATTTGTTTCAAATGGATTTAGAAGAAGGTAAAGTGATTGGAAAATAGCTAAATCTTGCTCTGAATAAATTGTTCCTGATTGCACAGTCCTGCCTAAAAACATACTTTATTTCTTGCCAAAGCATTATCTACTCAATTTAAATATGTCCAATATGAAACCATGTGTGTCCACTGTCACTTTACTTATGTGTGCAATAATAACTTTAATAACATCAGAATGTACAATATAGAATCACATGTGTTACTGTCACTTTACTGAGTCACTTTGTCTCAGACCCTCATGCTGCGAACATGTGCAGATGCAGGACACACAGCTATACATTACTTGCACAAGAATACACAGTATTTTAGACTTGTTTCTATAATATGCCAGCGTTAGAGATTGTATACATACCTCTTTATCATGCTAAAGTCTGAGATATTTTACTTACTTATTTATCATGCTAAAGTCTAAGATTTTGTACTTAATTCTTGCTTCTTCATTATGCTAAAGTTGGTGATTTTATTATAATTTATCATAGAGTTATTGTTAATTTATCTTGTGTGCTCCTCATTCCTACTGTTCTGTAACTAGTGATGCAACACTGACATTTTTCCACTGTGGCACTATTAATCTCAATCTTACAATAATAAAGGGAATTTATTGATAAGAATGCTGTACTTATTGAAAATAGAGAAAAATAAATAAATCAATATCTTAAGATTGCAAAGCCATTTTGACTGAACTATCAAACCAAGCACACAGAGGATAAACTACAAAGGCCCAGAGACACCATTTAAAGTTTGAGAGTCTATGGTACGAGTACAAGCCTTTGTTATGTATGTTGCACTGTGGACCATTTAAGGCGTGGCCGCGTGCTCTTCTACTCTGAACCTGATAAACTAGAATACAAGTAAGAATGAGTTGACACTTGTTGGTTTATAAAAAAAAACTTGACAATTAGTATTTGTAACCGAGGAAATGTCAAATAGTTGCTCAGTCTTAAATATTAGGGAAAGTAAATGGCTGGTCTGGTTAAAATGGAAGTATTGTTTTGAAGTATTGTTTTGCCAAGTTTGTAGTCTGGACGTCCTGGATGTATAACCATGAAGAGGCAATAACATTTTTCTGTGAATTAAAACTTTAGCCATTCCTCATTTATTCTGGCATCATCAACTCCACAACCACAGGCTCATTTTTTTCGGATTTATATGGATTAATTATTGGATTAATTATTATATAATGAAATATTATGAGAGAAACCCCTGGAGATGAAAAGATGATCGATTCTAGAGAAGGATTTATGTCTGATCAGAGCTATATCAGATCTGTGCGTATAATCGCAAGTACCTGGATCATCAAATGCCATAAATCTCACTTATCCTGGCAATGATATGATTTTTATATGTAATATTCAAATCAGTCTATTTTTGGATTCATTCAGAAAGAATTCAGAATGGGACAGATAACACAATGCAAGACTGGCTACTTATAATTTTGTTTCATATAGACTACAGTTATTAGCCTGGCCTTACCACACAATTGCACTAATTTCATTTCGTACATATAGGGAAATAATATTTGACCAGAATGTACGAATGGCTAAGGCTAGGCTAAGGCTACTTTGTTATCTACAGATTTGTGTTTGGAAATGCCATGATACCTAACACAGCTCAAATTAATAGCACATCATTTGAATAACATTAACATTTAATTCATGATAAATAAATCTTTGTAGTAACATCTGATAATAATGTTTCATGTACATTGAACATGAATAAACACTCAACTCTACATCAAAATTGGATATGCCCTTAAATATGGGAACACTTGGTTTCCACCCCTGGCTTCAGAGTGGGTATCTGTCTGACAACCCAGAGGGCCATAAAACCTGTAAAACTTCTGTTGTTATAATGTATTATGTTACATAATAACAAAATACATAATATGTATTTTTATTATGTACAGTACAGACCAAAGTTTGGACACACGTTCTCATTCAACGAGTTTCCTTTCTTTTCATGACTATTGACTGTAGATTCACACCCAGGCTGTGTAAGGGCTATTTGACCAAGAAGGAGAGTGATGGGTGCTGGGCCAGATGACCCGGCCTCCACAGTCACCGGACCTGAACCCAATCCAGATGGTTTTGGGGTGAGCTGGACCACAGAGTGAAGGCCAAAAGGGCCAACAAGTGCTAAGCACCTCTGGGAACTCCTTCAAGACTGTTGGAAAACCATTGAAGCTCATCAAGACAATACCAAGAGTGTGTGAAGCAGTAATCAGAGCAAAAGGTGCTACTTTGAAGAACCTAGAGTCCTAGAATATGAGACATATTTTCAGTTGTTTCATACATTTTTTAAACTATGAATTAACTAAGTTCATTAACTAAGTTAATTCATAGTTTTGATGCCTTCAGTGGGAATCTGCAATTTTCATAGTCATAATATATATACAGTATATATATATATACAGTATAACATATATATAACAAATTAAGGTTTTAGGTATTAGTTGAAGTTTCAGCAACTGCAAGAATGCAGTTCAGTGTTGGTTTGGAAACTTTTCACAAACTAACTAGGCCAAGTGGTCTGGATCGTCACCACAGGGGTATGAAGACAGCCCGGGGTCAGAAGTGAGAGATGGGTCTTTCTCCAATGTGCAGCAGCCAATGCAACTGAAGCTAGAAACATGTGTGAAAATGCACGTCACAGCGAGCACAGCAGTAAGACGTAATGTGATATTATCATAGATCCATGAACGGGACGCACAACATCACATCCCAAACATCATCAAGTGAGTTGCATTGAGATTTTTGCTGTGTTCATTGGCAAGACACTTAGTCCCACTTTACCTGAAGCCGCACTAAAACACCATGGCTGTGTCGTCGCTGACATAGACCAACCCGTGAACCAACCACCTTCAGGAGGATCAGCGAGGGACTGGTGCTGTGAGCATCTGATTGCCACCCTCCGACCCAGAAATGGATGAATAAAAGGGATTTTAATAATTAATCTTTGTTTCTTCTATAATTTAAAACATTAGAATTCAATTCCTCAGTAAAGAATGATTGTAATTTTCTCGTGAACTATCCCCTCCATATTAATGGTTGTGTAAACTATATGAGACACTACACTACATGAGTGGTGCAACAAATCATTAGTCCACTTTGCTTTTCATTCCTCTGAAAGCAATTAGCTGTTGTTTTGGTGTGACTCTGGACATCACTGGAGACTCAACATTAGGGACAAACACAAGGATCTACTCCAGGGAAACTGATGTAACTGTGATGAAAGTCTGAAGGCCTTGACCTGTAAAGCCACACTCAGATATCAATACATGATTTTACATTTTACATCTGACAGGATTATTTATAGTAATAATAATATTATTATTATTACTATAATTATAATAAAACAACTATCATTATTTAAATATTTGTTGAAAGTAACATTCCTCTTTGGCTGCAACTCATTTTGAAATGCAAGACCTATTAGATAATCTATGACAAGCAGACATTTTGACCTCTTGATGTGTTCCAACAAAAAGTCAAAACATAATTTCCAATAATTGAGTGTCCTTTTTAATGTGTTAAACTTGCCACACTAGATTCAATAGATTTATAGACTGACCCACAGTAGCAGCAGTTTTTCCTGGAATCCCAGTCTCATGACAACAGTCCATCACGAGTGTGGCTCAGTGATCAAGTTTCCTTAAATGAATTATGAAAGGCATGTTCACTCCATAATTGTTTAATAAAAGTCCCAGTGCACACTGTGTTGTCTCTAATTATTCTTACTCCTCCCTGTAAGCCCAAATACTTATACACAGCAAACTTCTCTCATTTTGAACCTGACTGCCACCATGTCCTCTTATCGAATCTTTGTGTTAGCTCTGCTCGTAGTTTTTCTCTTCAATGGTAAGTGATATTTTATCTTAAGCATATCTAGTACTTTGTAATGTAGATGTAAGTATGTAATATATGTCTATTTTAGCTGTTGAAATGGAGGCAGCATCATTCCCTTGGTCCTGCCCCAGTCTGAATGGAGTGTGCCGGAAAGTGTGCTTGCCAACAGAACTCTTCTTTGGACCTTTAGGATGTGGAAAAGGCTTCTTGTGAGTAACCTTTATTAATATTTTTTGGATGATTTTTTATATTCATATATATTAACACTCTATTTTATCCCAATAGGTGCTGTGTTTCACACTTTCTATGATTTAATGCAATCATCCAAAAGACATGGTTGAGTGGCATGAAGCTGAATGAACATATGTGAAATCTAATTTATTGTTTTGGTCTTTCATGATGTCCCAAAATTGGATTTACATTCTAACTTGTTATCAGCTTGAAATAATAAAAGTATACATTCTGACTCACTCCTGTGGTTTATCTCTTTATTATGATAAAGAAGACATAAGCACTTTCATCAAAATGTTCCTTCTTATTCATAATATAAACTTTCCCAAGAATTTAATCGCAGCTTGTTATTGATTTTACAAAAGATGACAACATGATATACTTGCAACTCTTATAGGCCCAGCTTCGAGTAAGAGAAAAGTTAGAGAACTCTTACTACAATTTATGTTGCTATGCAACTATTTTATGCAACTACAGTACCTACAGATTGTTTTTTTTTTGAACTTCAGAAAAATATATAGAAATGGAGACACCTGGACTTTATCTCAAGTAAGAGTAGGGATATCACTTATAATACAAAAATTAAAAGTATAATTGAGTGTAAATGGACACAACTAAAGAAAAGAGAAGTATGATCTTTTCAGCATGATCAAAGCAAATTTCAAATACCATATTAGCCACACATTATTCTTTTTTCATTTCTTTTCGCCTATTGTGCCAAACAAGAAAAGCAAATATAATATACAAATAATAATGCCTGGGCTAACTTCAATTCACAGACGTGTACATCAGATTAGATAAATAAATAACAAATAATGAAGAAATGTTTTATTGAATCCATTAATTGTTCAAAGCGAGGTGGTATTTTTCTATTGAGGCCCCAATATAGCACTAAGGGGGCGACAGTAGCTCAGTTGGTAGAGCATTGGCCTTTGAGCCAGAGGGTCGTGGGTTCGAGCCCGCCGTTGTGTCCTTAGGCAAGACACTTTACCCCCATTGCCTAGAATGAGTCTGGTGTGTGTGTGAATGGTTGGTGATGGTCGGAGGGGCCGATGGCATATACTGGTTGCCTTGCTTCAGTGTGCCCCAGGGCAGCTGTGGCTACAGTAGTAGTTTATCACCACCGTGTATGGAGTGAATGAATAATAACATGTAAAGCGTCTTTGAGTGTCCAAAAAAGCGCTATATAAAACCGATGCATTATTATTATTACTAAGTGTGGGCATGCATAGAAGATATGGACAAAATCTTGATTCTCTATTGCACAACCTCTCCAGCAATGTTGAATTGAATTAGAAAACTTACTAATCACTTGAGGTGTTCTGAAAAATCTTGTGAGAATATATGGGGATTTTGTGTATGGGTAAATATTAGCCAACCCCTGCGTCCACTCGTCAATAATTTATACATATCTGAGGAAGCACTAAACATGTAGTCTGGAAATACCAAATACTGATATCACAATAAAAAGAAATCGCACTCGTGGGGACTGTGGGGTCCACACCGATAATCCAAAGACAAAGAAATAGTTTAGTTGAGAAAGAAAAACATAATAACTATCATCATCTAAATCAACATCATGCTTAATAAAAATTGTATAACATTATTGTACAACTGAAATTATTTAGTTTAAAGGAGTAGTATGTAAAAATATGGCCCAAAGTGGTACTGCAACCTCTCCCACTCTCCCTGACTCAGGTTGGCAGATATGCAGACGAATCCAGCTGGGAACATAAAATCTGAATAGACAAGAGTTTAGTCAACAACAAATCTATAACCAACACCTTTTTCACAAAGGCCCCAATAGAAAATCTAATTTTATTCCTTGTTTTGTCATTAATGATTTGAGAATCATAACGAGACCTTTTTTAGTTCTGAGGCCACATGTTACTTTACCATTAGATTAGTTCAATGTTAAGAGTTCTGGCAACCCGGATCACAGACATGCTGATTTGTAAAACGCTGGAGGGCGGGACATAGAAACGAAAACAAAGTGGGGCTCAAATACAAGATTTATGGGCTGTAAAACTAATTTCCTGGCTGAACAGTTAAAGAAGTATTGGAGTAAAAGCATGGTTTGACTTTGATATATCAGGGCCATTTAATAATGACTTGAATGAATGAATGAATGAATGAATGAATGAATGAATAATTTTATTTCAAGCAAGCAAGCATGAGCATGACACAATGTCACAATAACAAAACTTAAATTCATAAACGTTATAGTAAACAATATATATTAACACAGATTACATTATTTATTTATTATTATCATTATTATTATTTTTTTATTTTTTATTATTATTTTTTTTTTCCTTAACAATAAAGTAATGCTCTTTGCTTGAAAGGGAGTGAGAAGAAGTGAAACACTTGTTTACTCCCACCCCCAACTACAAAATAAAACTAAATACTGGATACCGTCCTGTACAACATAAAATTACAACAAAGTTTTACATTATACTCTGTCGGTCAGATAAATACATAAACACGTGCAAATGCACACATACATACGCACATATATTTAAATATACCTGAGTACACGTACATATATACATACACACACATCCATATACATGTACACATACATATATACTAACACGCACAATCGACACACATATAATGCTTGTATAAGACAATAAAATAGACCTATATTCTCTTAGTCTACTTTTGTTTTTAAGTTGGAACCTAACACTATTTAGAACGTTTCATCTAATTTGTATCTCATTAATATAATTTCTTTGTATTTAGATTTGAATTTCCAAAGTACTGTGGACTGTTTGAGGTCGTCCCCCAAACCATTCCAGAGCCGGACCCCACGTACCGACACACACATACTCTTCCGTGTCGTTCTCACGGCTGGAACTTTAAAGATATTAGAACCCCTTAAATTGTGTTTTCCCTGTCTTATTTGAAAAAGTAATTGAATTTTTTTTGGCAGTTTATTTTTACTTGCTTTGTACAATAACTGTGCTGTATAAAACTCAACCAAGTCATAGAATTTTAATTGTCTGGACTGCAGAAACAGTATGTTGGTGTGGTCATAGTAGCCGGCTCTATGAATGGTTCTTATTGCACGTTTTTGGAGTTTCCAGAGCGATTGTAGAGAAGTATTGTAATTGTTACCCCAGACTTCAATTCCGTAAATTAGGTAAGGTAGAACAAGGGAACAATACAATAAATCAAGGGCTTTATGGTTTAAAACATATTTTGTTCTATATAACAAGGATATATTCTTGGAAATCTTGTTTTGAATATATTTGATGTGTGACTTCCAATCTAGTTTACTGTCAATCATCATTCCTAAAAAATTTATTTCAGACACTTTTTGAATTGTTGTTCCTTCTATTTTTACTATGAGTTCTGATTCTCTATGATTCCCGAAAAAAATTACTTTAGTTTTCTCCAAGTTAAGAGATAACTTATTCGTATCCATCCATATTTTGATTTTCTTTAGTTCATCATTTACTATATTAATTAGAGTGTTTAAATGGTCATGACTATAAAATATGTTAGTATCATCAGCAAATAAAATCATCTTCAGTATATTGGATACTTGAAACAAATCATTAATATACAGAACAAATAGTTTTGGCCCCAAAATAGATCCCTGTGGAACTCCACAAGCAATGCCTCTACGCTCTGATTCAATATCACCCATCCTCACAAACTGTGTTCTCTCTGATAGGTAGCTCTTGATCCAATTCCATGACACCCCCCTAATACCATACCTTTCTAATTTTTTAAGTAAAATTGAATGATTGATAGTGTCAAAAGCTTTTTTTAAGTCTATAAAGATTCCAACTGCATGTCTCTTTTTGTCTAAAGCGCTGGTGATTTCTTCAACCGCTTCAAGAATTGCCATTGTTGTGGATCTGTTTGATCTGAAACCGTATTGTCCTTCATTTAAAATGTCACATGTGTCTAAAAAACTTTCTAGTCGCTTGTTAAACAGTTTTTCAAGAATTGTGGAAAATTGAGGGAGCAGAGAAATGGGTCTGTAGTTGGTGAAGATGTGCTTATCTCCATTTTTTAATAGAGGTATAACTTTGGCTGTTTTCATATTTTTAGGAAATGTTCCAGTCTGAAATGAAAGATTACAAATGTGGGTCAAAGGCTTTTCGATACCTTCAATTACTTTTTTATAATAAACATATCTATACCATAACAATCAGTAGATGTCTTGCTTTTAAAACTATTGACAACATTTTTTATTTCAACCCCACTCACATCAGCGAGAAACATGGTTTTTGTGTTTCTTTGAATCAGATTAAGATCAACAACTTTGTTGTGTTCAGGGATTTTTTCTGCCAGCTCTGGGCCTATGCCTACAAAAAAATTATTAAACTTATTAGCAAAGTTGTGCATGTTTGTGACAGTGGTTCTCCCCTTGTCAAGGAAATAGGACTTGACAAGAAAATCTTACAAATTGCTACTTTAAGTTGTGTTATTGGTACAAAAACAGCATTGAATGTAATTGGGGAGTACAAAAATTAATCGGGGCGACAGTAGCTCAGTTGGTAGAGCACTGGCCTTCAGGCCTGAAGGTCGTGGGTTCATTTCCCACCTCCACACCTTCTCCACCGACTCCCACTGATGACTGCTGTCGTTGTGTCCTTGGGCAAGACACTTAACCCCACTTTGCCCAAAGCCCCCACTGAAAAATCAAGGCTATGCTCACAGTCAGAGAGCAGCCGTCCTCCTGTGGACTCACCACCTGCAGAGGGTCAGTGAGGGGCTGGTGCTATGAGACTTGGGTGGCATCTCTGACTGCCACCCCCCTGACCCAGAAATGGATTAAAGGGAAGAAAATGGATGGATGGATGGATGGGGAGTACAATGATGATTATTGGTGAATATGTTTACTGCACTATCACATAGGCTTATAGTTCCCTGATGTGAATTATCAATATAGACCTAGCGGTGTGAGTGTGAGGCCTGTGGCTCAGCGCAGTAACTCTGTTCGACCAGCAGCGGCGCTGTCAGTAAGATCTCCTCCTCCAGCGCAGGCAGGGAGCAAGAAGCAACCACAACAAACACTTTAGCTATCAGCTAACAGCTAACAGCAACACAACAAGGAAACGGGTGCACCATACGTGTTTATCTGTGTTTGAAGTGTATATGCAATTTATTTATTGTTGTAGTGGCCTAGAGTTGTATAGCTACCTTAAAGAGAGATACAGTTACCTAACATCAGCCACGGGTAAAAGCTAATCCTATCTCTGAACTATTTTATCCTTTTCGGGAAGGCTGTTGAGCGAAGCGATATGTGAGGGGAAAAACAACATTACGCCGTCAACTGTGAAACTTACCCAGGTATTGGGTGGAATGACCACAGACATAACCATCTGTATCTGTTCTCGATTAGTGCTGATATTCGCTTAAATGTAGGATCGTTCGATCATTAACATTATCGCTCTCACTAAGGGAACGAATGAGCGCACTTCTTGCATCACACTCGTTTAAGTTTAAAATGTTCATAGTTTGTTGTGTTTGTTCGGTGCAAACGATATTGTAGTTACCGACATATGTAACATGTAACAGCTAAGCTAGCGAGCTAACGAGATGTAGATGTTGTTTGAATCAGTGGAACTTTCAGGTTTCTTTTTAGTGATCAAGGCTTAACGTTAAAACTGTCAATTCAATGCAACTTGTCCCTTTTCTTCCACATATGTTTTGGATGAACTGATGCGCAAAGTTTTCCTTTCGTTGCACTTTCATTGACATGGGCCTAATGATAACGACTCTCAGCAAACACAATAGATGCTCCAAAGGCCATGACATTACTTGCACTTATCCAAATGGAGGCCAAAAGAAGAAAAAGTTTTTAAAAACGGTGCTTATAACAGCTAAGCTTTTGTCATCTTTTATTTCTTTTTTAAAAAGTTTAAAAAAACAAAATATCTGCATCCCTTCAAAGCTGACTGTTCTTGACTCATGCTGCTAGTTTCCATGGTTATGTTGAAATATTTAAGCGTCCATCTCCAGGTTCCACAGTATGATATTACAAAAAAAAACTATTTTAACTTTCAATATTGCTGGATTGTTTGAATTGCTTATATGTCATTTATTTACGTTAGACTGTATAATATAGTGACCATTTGTTCTTTTTTGTAATAGTTTGTGTACATAATATTCTTGTCTTGTCTCTTTTTCAGCAATAATGATGCACGTCAGCGTTGGAGATGTCTTCTTCCTGGTTTTCTGCTCCCTAGTTTCCTCGCCCTCTTATGCATACATATACGCGGTGAGTGCAGTCTTTCAAAGACTGGTATTAATATATTTTTTATTTTTATATCTAAATCAATCCTTGTATTTGCAGCATTACAGTAATTCCACCTCTATGTTAATGGAGGATCTCCCTGCTCTTTTTGGAACCTCTTTACCCAAAGAGGGATTACAGGTAAAAGGATTTTTTTTTCATCTTGTTTATTGATTGCATAACCTATATTTTTTTCTGTGCTCAAGGGAATGTTGGTGTTAGCTCGTCCACTTAATGCATGTACACCAATGGATCCGGCACCTCCACTGCCTCCAAGTTTTGACGCTAACACTACAAAATTGATAGCACTAATAAAGCGTTATGAATGTAATTTTGATATTAAGGTACTGTAGATGCAAATATTTTGATAATAAAGCTTGTGAAAAGGCATATGTAATAATGTGAAAATTGTTTGTAGGTCTTTCATGCCCAACAAGCTGGGTTCGATGCCGCTATTGTTCACAACATGTATTCAGACACTCTGCTGAATATGAACTACAGTAATGGTAAGCTCATTTACCAGTCACTGCCAAAAACACACTGTGGCCTCATTTTGTGTCCTAATGTTTTTGTTGTGGCTCTTAAACAGAAACGATTGCTGAAGCTATTGAGATTCCATCTGTGTTTACCAGCTTTTATGCCTCTCAAGTGCTCAAGAAATTTATAATCCCAGAGAAGGGGTACAGAAGCTGTCAATGAAAACTTTATGCTAAATTGACAACTGTTTTGACAACTTGTGTGTTATGTTTCCTTTTAGGGCATATGTGATTCTAAAACCAGATTTTAGTTTTCCACTCTCGTACTACCTAATACCTTTTTGCGGAGTCATTGGCCTAATTTTTACTGTGATGTGTGTTGCATTGGTGCGTATACTATTTAAAAAAACATTGTTGATGTTCTCAGGTCAGCAAAAAATATATATTGTATTTTCAGATCGTACGATGTGTGCAATATTCAAAACGCATAAGGAAAAACCGTTTGTCCAAAGAACAGCTCAACCGCATTCCCACTCATGTGTTCTCTAAAGGTATTATCAGAAGTCTATTTTGTAGCTGTTACCATGGTAACTAAAATATTATTTATTGCAGGTGACGACTATGACATTTGTGCAATTTGCCTCGATGAATATGAAGAGAGAGATAAACTGCGGGTCCTTCCTTGCTCTCATGGTTAGAATATTTTATACATATATATAATATATAATCTGTGCTCATAGCTTTACAGTAGTTCCCTTAATTGCATTTTTTCAGAATATGGATGATCACATAGACCCCTTTAAGCCAATAATAAACAACTGGGTTATCATTTGGTCAGTTCTGGGGTTTGGGCTCAGTTGTCAGTAGGTTTGAATTCTTTGGCAATTAATGGGTTTATCCATCCACTAACCATGAGTGGGAGAACAACATTTTTTGCATTCATATTCTCTGAAAAATGGGCATGTCTGCCATACATGTTTACATACATGTCTGCTGGTGTATGTAAACTTAAGTACAATTCATAACTTGATAAAATGTTTGTTCCAATCACATTTGATTGAAATGTTACTGTTTTCTCAGCGTATCACTGCAAGTGTGTGGACCCTTGGCTGACAAAGACCAAAAAGACTTGTCCTGTGTGCAAGCAGCGCGTGACTCGGCTCACTGCAGACCACTCCGAGTCTGAGTCTGAGGAGGAAGGAGCCCACCGCAGCGAAGAGGAAGCCGACACTGAGCGTACGCCACTGCTGCGACCCTCCAACCCGGGTTCTCCCTCTGGGAGTTTAGTGGACTACTCGGCCATCAACAACACTACAGTGACCACTGCCCAGTGCCTGGGCTCCCCAGCCTGCAGTGAGTCCCCGATAGTTGAATTTGAGGGCTACTACTCCCCTGAGGAGAACACTGACACAGAGAGTGAGGGCACACACACTGATGATGACACGGCTCAGCTCATTGGTAAGGATCATGTCAATGTTTGATGAATGAAACTTCTAATGTGCGTCAACTAATGGTCACACCATGAGTCATGGATACGAGAAGTGTCTCAGATCACATGTGGTCATTGTACAACACTTACATAGCTGTCATTATATGCAACTGAGTCACACATCTAATCTGATCTCTAGTTTTGCACAAAAGGAATAACAAAATGCTAATTTTTTTGTTATTTGGTCAATAGATACTGGTGCAATTTAGTTACAAAGCCATTCATATATCTTTATCGGCTTTCAAAGTATTTAGACATTTTTAATGCATCTTCTTATTTCCCAAGATCCTTTACATGGTTTTAGATGCCATATTACCTGCATATTTATCTTCAGTCATTAAACCTTTTAATGGTGTTTTCTTTTAATTTATCAAATTGAGGAACTCTCAGTTTTATGAGTTAATTAACTTCCTTTGATGCTGGCAAAACCTGATTAAAAAAACCTAAACATCTGCCTGTAGATTTGGAGTTTGTAGTACTTTTTGTATTTTTTATAAGAACTTCACTCATTTAATTCTCTATGAATATGTTGAGGTTGTGAAAAAAAGCATTGCCTTGTAATGGCCTTGATTTTTGTGATATTTATATGTGGAAATGAAGGGATTGTTTCACTCCTTATTGTCAATACTCTGTGTACACTTTCACTGTTGTGTACATTATATTATTTCCGTTGTATTTTTTAACCCATTGCTTGTTGTGACGCTTAACTATTACACAAGTTTTTTCTGACAGTTAGATTTGAGAAAAAATAACATTCCATTGAAAACGTGAACTGAAAGAAAAAAAACCTTTGCTTTTAGATTCTCTGCCATTCTCTGCCACTGTATCAAAGAATGATTAAACATTTTTGGGAAAATTCTCATTTGTACCGCTTCATACTTTTAATTAGTGAAGTTTAGTAGTTACTTTATTATTAAGGATTTGGTAAATTTGTATGGGTATGGATTAGAATAATACAATTTTAATACATTTCGAAAAGACTTCCTGGGACTCTGTATGTAGAGTTTTAATTATTACTGTTATACCAACTTTATATTGAACTCTTAATCCGTCCTAATTAGGTCATTTTACTCTTTGAAGCATTTTTTTTTTCTACCACATATTCCCAGAGAATACTATTCAAATTGAGAACACACGGCAAAATGTACCATATGCAGTGATTTCAATTAAGGGATTGAAAATTGCGGGGTAACGCTGCAGGGATTTAAAAGGCTCCAGACATTGACCAGTGCAGGTGGTAGGAGCGATGGCTGGACCTGGGTTCAGATCTGCCTTCCTGTTCTTGCTGACTGCATCTTTATTTGTGGGGCTGGAATCCAGAACGACAAAACTGGTAATACCACTTTTATTACTTTTATAAATGACATTGTACCACTTTGCCAATTTGCTTGTGTTTTTACCTGGGCAGGGCTATCCTGTCCATGTAATGCCTCCACTTCCTTACGGATTTCAATTAGCCTCTTTCTTTGGAGGTGGAGATGGCTTTCCACATCAAGAGGAGGTGTTTATAGTGAATGAAGAACAAACAACTCCTGTTTGGCCTCAAGTCATCTCGGATTACATGAGACACCAACTACAATATAGAGGAAGGACAAAGAAAAATATCAACATCATGAAATTAACAAATTAGCTCAGAAACTGAGCAGTAGGCTAATTATTGTGTAGCATTATTGTGTAGTAATGTAAGTGTGGAGTAAACCACTGTTGGCCTACAGTTATACATGTACTAATAAACATTTACCTTTGTATTTGTTACATCTGTTTAACCGATTTTATAAAAGATTTGAAAACTGTTACACTAGTACTACATTGGGAAGTGTACTTTCTATGACAGTGCAGGGTAGTAAGATATGACAAGTCGAACTGGTCATGAACTTCAACCATGCTAAGAGATGCTGATCTCTTACAGGATTGCGTGACAACAATATGGGTATGAAACCTTTATCCAGTCATGGGAAATACTCAATATGTTGCATTCAATTGTAATTGTCAAACAATGTAAAATGAATGCAACATATTTGTCTTGGTAACAACTTGAATACCTTGGATTTGCTTAACATAAATTGCTAGTATTGTATATTTTTTAATTGCATTTATAACGCATGTCAACACTTGATTAGGAAACGTGTTGTGTGTTGCAAATAGAACTTTTATACATAGTGCAGTTCACTGCCAGGCCAGCCGATGGCGGTAGTGAGTAGTGCGGGTTTGCAGTTTACAGAAGAAGACGTAAGAAGAAACAAAAATAACCGGGTATGGTTTTGTTCTGTTATTACGCATTAATGACACTATAGCGTTCCTCTCTAAAATAATACTGATTCATGTGCGCTAAGAGAACACTCAGATGTTACACTCAACCCAAATAGCCCGCATTAAGCTGCAGTGGTTAGCTATTAGCTCTTAGCATAGCTCACGTGAGTGGAGCTAACAGCGCGTTGTTCATGCTAGACCTACATTTGCATTATATCACCCTAACTTAGAAATTTAGCTTTATGTTATAAGGCGAATAAGGTTTCCTCGTCATAGTTAAATGAAAATGTAAAGTTTGACGTTCAATAAAAAAAATAACATCTATTCGCTACTGACTCCTTGTAATCATTATTCTGTCATTATTAATTCATGTATTTGGTCTGGAGGAGTTTATCAGATAAATTATACAGATCTTCTCGTGACCCAGGAATTGTGTAGACTCATGTTTCATTGGGGAATGCAGTTCTACTAACCTTCCTCTTTGTTTCAGAAATGGGGGATAGTGATGATGAGTATGATCGTAGGAGAAGGGACAAATTCAGAAGAGAAAGAAGCGACTATGACCGGTCCAGAGAACGAGAGGAGAGGCGGAGGGACGACTGGAATGACAGGTAAATGATAACACTGAGGTCTGTACTTCTGTTTTATTGATCAGGGAGTCGGGCATCTTTGTCCTGCACTAAGTGGAAGAGGATTGGTGGATGTGTGATATTTTTGCTTCACTGGTACATTATTGAGTCAAGCACGTGTGAGTTTGACTGTTCTTGCTCTTAAAAGTGATGGCATTGAAATGTTTTCTTTTTTTCGGTAAAAGTAGAGAACTTCAAGCTTTAATATATATTTTAAGTTATTGCCTTTTTGAAATCAACTCAAATATACATCTCTATTTGGCGTTAAAAAGTTGTCCAAAAATAAGTAAATACAGATAGCAATAAAAATACATTAGTACATTATTGAAATGAAAACAGTTAACTGATTCTCACTGATTTATGAGTGTGTTTTAACTTTCAGGGAATGGGACAGAGGACGAGAGCGCAGAAGCCGCGGAGAGTATCGAGACTATGATCGGGGTCGGAGGGATCGGTTCTCTCCTCCCAGACATGACATGAGTCCACAGCAGAAACGCATGAGACGTGACTGGTCAGGCTCACTTCAGCTGTTGATATAGTAAAATGCACAGTTGGGCTGCAAATGAACTCTTGTATCTCTGTCAGGGATGATCATGGTGGAGAACCTTTTCGGGGCGGCTATGATATGGGTTATGGTGGAGCAGGTCCAAGCTATGGACCACCTCAGCATTGGGGTCACCCTGACCTGCATCTCATGCAGCCGCATCATGGCATTCCTATACAAGCAAGGTAAGAACTGAGTTTTCTGAATTGTTTTGTTATTATAATACATTTACTGAAGATATCTGTAACATTTTCATCAGGCTGGGTAACATCCATGAAATGGACTTGGGCCCTCCTCCACCAATAATGAAATCTTTCAAGGAGTTCCTGGTGTCTCTGGATGACTCTGTGGATGAGACTGAAGCAGTCAAACGCTACAATGAATACAAGCTAGATTTTCGTCGTCAACAGATGCAGGACTTCTTTTTGGCTCATAAAGACGAAGAGTGGTATGATCTGAAAGGCCTTTTCTGATTTCACTCAGATTGTAAATAAACAATGTCTATGAAGCTTAAACCAGTTAAATCTATACAGGGCTGGGAGATATAATATTGTTCGCAGTAATGCCGGCATTATTTGTGACGGTACAAAACTGAAATACTGCACATCTGAGCATGTGGAGAATGATAATCATATCAATTTAAAAAATACCATGTTTTCTCTTTCGGTTACCGCGCCTGTAGTGTCAATACTGTGAGTCTATCCAGCAGAGTCCACCAGAGTCGAAAGCTGTTATAAGGCTGTAAAACGAGCCCCGTCCACTGACGATATGCAATGGCCATAAAGTCGGCGGACCTGTCCTGCTCAGGTTAATGATCACGATGATTTATTTTCAGAAAAAATTTCAGGCTTAAAATACATTTTATCATTTTATTAACAAGAGGGTGATCTCTTGTTTTCTGACTTTTCTGTCTGAAGCTGATCTAATGATTTTGAGTACCCTAAATACATGGATGTGAAAACTGTTTTGAGAGAGATATGATTTTTTTGTTGCGTTTTATAAAAAAAAAAAAATCTTGCATATAATATAATATCACCCAGCCCTATAGCTATGTTATAGTCACAGGCCTTGTATACAGACAAACTGATTTCTTTAGTTTATATTTTCAGTTTAGAATTTGAGTTTTCATTTGTCATTTATGTTGATGCTTATTGCTTAATTCGCTGATAATTGTTTTTGCCTTAACAAGTTTTTCTTCCTTCTACATAACAGTTTTGCTGAAGAGTGAAGTCCATCCACAGGAATCGGTCCTAGACAGTCAGGGCATGCACTGCGCACAATGCAGATGCTTTTAGACACAAAGTATCAGGGAGCTTAGTCAGAAAGTAAACTGCGTATTTTTTGTATTTTTTATTTTTTGCCAAACTAGAGCTTTTTTAAAATTTGGATCAAATCGAATCCCAAAACCGAATTTGTGTGTATACAGACACCATTGGGGTGAAGTGGAGCGCATATTCACAGAAGAGTCCCTTCTCTGTAGTAAATTGTTATTAAACTGCCAGAACAAAAGGTAACTCAAGACCACTCAATGTTAAACATTGTGTTTCTTTGTCATTTTAATGTTAATACTTTATTCTATAAAATAATTGCATTAATCTCAGGTTGAATCTCATTTATTGATTGAATAACTGAAGATAGATTATTTGTGGGAAATTTTAATTGGGCTTTTTAAACGCTGAAACATCAAACAATTTAAGTGTATGTTTTCTAACTAATTTTCCCATCTCTCCCATCTTATTTTTGAACCCTGCCCTTGTGGGTTCACATGGCACAGGTTCAGGTCTAAGTACCATCCAGATGAAGCCAGTCGACTGAAAGCTGAAGCCCAGAGTGCCCTCAACAACCGTCTGAACGTCTTCACTTTCCTCATGGAAAACAGCTGGTTTGACGGACTATTGCTGGACACTGATCATAGCCAAGCCATTATCAAAGTTCTGGACGCAGGTACAGTCTAATGTACCCCAGATGATGTGCAGGGTTCTCGCCAGCACTTTACCCAACTTTTTTTCTATTAATCGAGATCCACAATGTCAAAATCGAGTGATATCAGGGCTCCTTAGCGCCTCTCATAATCAAACAGTTAACCCCTTTTCTGCTTTTCTTCATCAGTTTATACAGAAGTTAGAATTTCTTTGTGTAAGAGTCATTTATGTGACATGGGAAGAGTCGCGTAAGAGCGGTCGGCGACTCTCAGCGTTAGCGCTTCTACTACAGAAGTTCATTAATTTAATCCAGAGTGATGACTCTGACCTGAGCTGCGTTCATGCACCTTGTGCATCTTTGTCTGCTAAAACATATTTCCATCATCTTATAACGCGATCCCTGCGCTGAAGCGTTCTCCAGAGATCTATGCTAGAGCGTCTGGCGGCAGCAGCTCGGCTAAGCCGCCGCCCATGTCTCCATGGCAATGCAAGTGAAACTAAGAAGGAAGTTGTAGGGATCCCAAAGTATAAAACTTTTACTTGTAATTATAGGCTCAAATCTAAACTATGTTATTAAAGATTACTGTATTTCAAACCTGAGCTGTGAACTAACTGTTCAGGCTTTTGAATACAATTTTCTTTCTTGTTTCTCTTGAAGATAAGTCTCAAAAATAACTTGGGCTCTAAAGAAGCTTTAAACATTTTCTGTCACAAAGTGGGCCCGCAAACTGGAGGAATCAGTGTGTAAATGTAAAAAAATTCAACGAGCCCCTTCTATCCGAGTGAGATCATTACAATGTAATGCTTTCATCTAAGTAATGTTCAACATTTCATACATGTTTTGAGCCTAAAGTTTTAAATAATAAGATGTGGAGAATATTAAAACGGCTTAATAAATGACTGCCCTAAGCTTTCCAAACACTTGGCATTCCTTTTGCTGAAATACCTTTTCTTCAGCTGTCATAAAGATGGAGGGAGGAACTGATCATGACATCCGCATTCTGGACCTTCCTTCTGAAGAAGAAGAACAGCGGGACAAACCTCGATCAGCGGCCCCCGAGCAGCCAAAGAAAGAGGAGTCCAAGACCCTCGAGACAGAGCCGAAAGGGCAAGTTTCATCTGAAGACACAAATGAAAAGGTACAGATCACATCACAAGCTATATACTGTGCTGTGCTGTTTGATGGTAACGGCAACATGTGGAACAGGAGGAAAAAGAGGATTCTGATGGTAAAAAGAAAGCAGACGCCAAAGCAACAGAAGACGGTAACGAAACTAAAGAAGAAGCAGAAAAATCTCCTGTGAAAGAGGAGCCACCTGAACCTAAGAAGGTCAGCATTTACTAAAAGTTGCTACTATATGTTCATTAGGATTGCGATATTATATTTGTCACTCAGTTAGAATATTGTTTTTTGTATTAATTTCGAAAAGTATACATGGTTGGAAATGGACGAAAAGGATAAACAGATAATCGAAAGATGATCTTACCCCTCTTCACTCATGTCCCTTTCACATAGTTTTGATATTTTGCCTTTAGTTTTAAAAATAGGGGGTTTGGAAGATTATAAGCGTTTGTTTCATCCAACCCTTTTTCCAAACTGTATTTTTGTTTGTACCGGTTTTGAAATAAACAGCTTGGAATAGTTTTAATATTATGCAACATTTAATACTCTCCAATCTCATGCACGCGCCACCATAAGCCCCCAGTCTCTCGGTGCAGCTCACCCACCTCCTTTTCTCTTCTCTCACTCTTCTCATTGTTTTAAAACAAATGAGTAATAGTAAAACGAGTCAGACATGAGTCCTAACATGTGTCACTACTCTGTGTAATTATTGGTGCGGTCAATGTGAAACAAAGACTTGCTGCACCTTAAGTAGTATTCGTTTTATATAGACTGAGAAAACAAATCTTTTTCTATTATATACACATTAATTTACGTAATATTTAAGTATTTAGTGTGTGTCACTTTGGTTTATTAAGTGTATGTTTAAAATATATTATATATAATGCATTTGCCATACCAGTTTCTCTTGTCTTAAAGTAAATATCTTTTTGAAGGTAAAAATTGGGTTCTCACTCTTGAATTCTGTGGCTTAAAGGACTTTCTGTGATGTTTACCAAACCCAAGCACCTGAAGGCAGTTCCCGTTCTTTTAAATGGCTGAGAGGCGTTTTGTCTTCCTGTCAGTACTGATGAGCTTCACCTTCATGGCAGAAGTGTATTTGATGTGGAAAAATGTTTTACGTAAACTTTTTGAATAATCACACAAGTACTAAAAGATGGGCTCGGCTAGGGTTATACTATGTGTTAGAAAGCAAACATTTTCTGAGCATTCCTCTAGTGCAGGGCATTTTAAGGATACTAAAAATTAAAACCTTGGTTAAATTATGAGGAAATTTGGTTCTAACAATTCTAACAATACTATACCTTAGTGGAAGCCATTGTGAGCCTACCAAGCGTTGAAACCTCACAGCCGCTCAGTACCCATCGAACTCGAACCAAGATTGTGTTGGTTGTGATCTTTTTAAACCATCATTCTGTCTGATTATACCTGCTTTTCTTTTCTAGCCAAGAAGAAAAAGAAAACGCAGTGGAGACAGTGATGATGAAGGAAGCGCCTCAGAGAGCGAATCCGACACTGATTCAGACTCAAACTCCATCACCTCCAACAACAAACCTGTGAAGAGAGAAGAGGAAGACAAGGATGAGGAGGAAGAGGGGGAAGGTTAAAACTATACACAAGCTATTACAAACTAATTTGCATTTTTAACAATATTTAAACATACAATGAACAACTTATTCTTCTGACACAAGACAAACCCAGAGACTCCGAAGATGAAAAGAAGGAAGAGAAGAAGCCCAAAGACGACTCTCCGAGACCTCGGCCGCTTCACAAGACCTGCTCCTTGTTCATGCGAGGCATTGCTCCCACCATTTCAAAAACAGAGATTGTTTCTGTGAGTATCACTGATCTAACAGCTGGTGCTTTTACTTATCCTGTCTTGGTTCATAGTTTGGTCATATATTCAACAGCTCTGTCGAAGATTTCCAGGATTTTTGCGTGTTTGCTTGTCTGATCCCCACCCAGAGCGCAGGTTTTTTACTCGCATTTTAGAGTAAATTAAGTGCAATAACAATACTTCTACAATAATTAACAAAACCTTGTGATTGTGAAGGTTTTTCCGAAGATGCTGGGTGACATTTGATCGTAGTGTTAACATTAAAGAGGTGTGTTGGAATTTGCAGAATATTCGGGTAAGTCTCAAAGATGCCATGTAAAGTTATTACTTTATGATAGTGTATACATGAATGAACTATATGTAATCTTTCTGTTATAGCTAAGGGACTGTGACCTGGCTCCTGGAGTTAACAGGGACTTGGCTCGAAGGGTGCGCCATGTGAACGGGATCACACAACACAAACAGGTCCTTCGCAATGACGTCAAGTTAGCTGCAAAGTTGATTCATGCTTTGGACGAAAAAGGAGAACTGTGGAGCAGGAAGACGCAAGAGGACAGCCCTGAGGTATATTGAATTTTATTTAGTCCTTTATTTAGCTGTCCACAAAATGTTAGACAATTACAAAGAAGCAGTTTTCTTGAAACTATCAAGTTGTCAAAATGTATGGGTTGGGTAGACAAGTATTCTGATTCAGAGTATGATTTGTAATTAAAAAGTCATTCTTCTGGCTCTTTCCATATATGAAAGTGAAATGTCTGGGGCCACTCCCCTCACTCCAACATGTAGAGCTGGTCTCACACGATCCAGGCCCAATGTGAAAATACTTAATGCCACACAGAAAGTCTGGATGTCATCTGTAAACTGGACATAAACCTGACCAATCATAATGTGTATAATGTGTGTGTTCACAGCTACCGGCTCAGAATCCTATTCTGAAGAACATCACAGATTATCTGATCGAAGAGGTGAGCGCTGAGGAGGAGGAGCTTCTAGGCACTGGGCTTGACCCAGAGGAGGCGAACAAGGAAGGAAACCCAACAGAGATGACTGTGGAGAGGGATGACAAACTAGCTATGGTTAGTTTAGCAAAATGATCCTCAATGTAATACTTGCACAGTTGTGATTTCACTTTATTTATTGCTATAGGTTTTAGATCGTCTGCTCTTGTATCTCCGTATTGTGCACTCTATTGACTACTACAACACTTGTGAGTACCCGAGTGAGGATGAGATGCCCAATCGATGTGGAATGATTCATGTGCGCGGGCCTATTCCTCCTAACCGCATCACTCAGGGAGAAGGTAAGGACCATTAACAAAACTAAGAATACAAGTTTAGTAACATGTTTTTATTCTCCAAACAGTGCAACAGTGGCAAAAGATGATGGAGGATAAACTTAGTCCATTGTTTAGCTTGAAAGAAATACTATGTGAGGAGGAAGCTACGAAGATGGGACGCAAGGATCCAGAGGAAGAGGTGGAGAAATTTGTTTTGGCCAACACTCAAGAGCTGGGGAAGGACAAGTGGCTGTGCCCTCTCAGTGGCAAAAAGTTTAAGGTAACAAAACAAAACCATCTAGATCACAAAGCAACATTTGATCATGAGTGATAAATACGTTAAACAAATTCTTCAGGGTCCTGAGTTTGTGCGAAAGCACATTTTAAACAAACACGGAGACAAAATTGAAGAAGTTAAAAAAGAAGTTATATTCTTCAACAATTTTTTAATGGATGCAAAGCGACCGTCACTCCCAGAGCTGAAGATGCCTCCTCTGCCAGGCCCAGGTCAGTGTGGTCTGTTCTGTGGCTTGAGCACGGCTCACAAGGAACTGACATAATCAAGTAGGATTTCTTTTTTCTCTAGGTTTACTATCTCCAGGCATGCCCTTCCCTCCTCAAGGCCCCCAAGGTCCAATAGGCTTTGGACAACCTCGTCCGCCGCTGATTGGCTACAGTGGTAAGTATTTATTATTTTTTTGTAGTTGAAAACTTGAGATTAAATCATGAGGAAGTGTATTTCTCCATTGTGAGATCTGATCTTATTATCGATTGATTTTGAATCAGATGTTGTGGTTTTGTGTGTTTCTCAGCAGGAGCCCCTCCCTATCCCCCAAACCAGTACGGCGGAGGCAGAGGTAACTATGACAACTTTCGTGGCGGAGGTGGTGGAGGTTACCTGGGAAAGCCACGCAACCTTAGGTGAGAAAACTGTACGTGTGGCTTTTACTTATACATTTAATTATGTCTTTTTAAAATGTTTGTATAAAATAATCTTCTTGTCACAGGATGTCACGAGGTGATCCACGCAACATCATTGAGTATCGTGACCTGGACGCTCCAGAAGATGTGGACGACTTCTAGATTTAAACTGGTGCTCATTTTTGCCTTGTGTCCTGTTTAATAAATGTAGTTACAGCGTTGTTATTAATCAGTTTTAGTATGATTCTTTTGCTACCGTATGTTTTGCAGTTGCTTGAAAGTTTAAACCCCAAGGCAGAAATCAAGAACACTAAAAAAAGTATATATGTATAATCTTTTTTTATTGGCTGATAATTCTGAGATTCTGAATGATAATGCAAAACCTTTTTCACTCATTGTTAGTAGTTATGTGACGATGTTCTATTTTTAAATGAATTTTAATTATAACAGAAACTAGGTTGACCCTGATTAGACATTTCCATCCCCCAGTTCTAATAGTACTAAATTCCTGTGCCAGCTTGCATGAACGGCACATTTGACCTCTAGATCAATGGCTCAATGCCATCATTTGGAAACAGAAACCTTGCTTATTGGACAATATATGGACACACACATGCGGGGATAATTTACTGATGTGTGGGATCGTCAAGTGAAGAAGCAAGCAACCTTTCACTGCCACCAAATCCAAGCACCAAAAGGCTGCCATCTAGTGTACATTTGATGGAACCGGAATGAATGTTTATTAAAAGCAATCAGAATATGTATTGTCTAGATAGAACATGTTTGCTTACATTCACTTAAAGCGTTACATTGATTTTCCTGGATTGACTTTTGTAAGGCACACCACAAATTTAACAACCAATGGACCTATGAACATGAAAGATATAACTACAGGTTTGACTGAAGATTGAGTTGACCCGACGATCCTGCTCTACTCACATACTGTAGGTATACACATGAAATTATACATTTAGTTGCGTTCACAGGAGTATGAGTTGTAAAAATGTGTTGGTGTATTTTGGCAATTATAATTTACATAAGTCAGAAACAATATTTTTGTGTTCTACAGCATTATATTAATAGCAAATTAAGACATGAGTGTGAACACGTGATAAAGGATTCCATACCATTCCTCAAGTGTGTGTCCGTCCAAGATTCACTTCAGATCTATTTCCACTTGGGAATAATAACCCTCATACTTGTTAAAGTAGCTCATGATTCACATGAAGTTTGAACATACAATTCACATCCAAAAGACTTCAGGTCCATAGTTTGACAAACATTTGACAAACAATAATTTAATTCACCAGTGCAATTTCATGAGCAATATTAAGTACAAGAGACATGTACAGTGTTGATGGTCGATTATAAAATAAGTGGGTCAAATGAGGAGTAGCTTGTGCCCCTCCGAGAGACCACAGCTGACCTTATGCTCGTGAAATAACTTAGTCAGACCCTCCATGTAAAGTTTGTGATAATGATCCACTTCCTCGTTTGTGGGTGATACACGTTTAGGCACAGAAATGGGACTTCCCACTGTAAAAGGAATTCATTAGTTTCCAGCCCAAATGAAAATTAATTTGGAAAACTTACCGACAGTGGTGACTGGCTTCCTAAATGGAAGAAAGGCCCATTTCTCACCAACAAATAAACATGGAGCAAAGCCCATGATTTTTTTAAATAGATCTTGTATAGTTCGGCCAATGGTGCCTTCTGTGAGAATCACTTGCTTAAAGAGTTCATTCTCCCCAAAGGAGTACACAGGCACCAGGTCCGCCCTGAGGAAGAGGAGCAGACACAAGGTCTTATACGATCTGACTTCATGTTACCATGTGTCATCTGTCCTCACCCAAACTCCAGGGCTAATTTGACAAATCCTTTCCTCTGCTTTATAACCACTGTGTTGGCACCAGGAGATGAGGCGAGCGACTCAGCAGCGCCCCCTATGACGATCACTACTGCATTACCTTTGCCACTCTTTGAAAGAAGGTGTATGAGACTGGCTTTGCTGACAGGATAATGGCCTGAGCAGAAAACAGACAAGGTACAAAAGTTATCACCACAAGAATTGTTTATGACTGGACATGCAGAGGTCACAGGTCGAGTCTTGTACAAACCTGCACACATGATGTACTCTCGAAACAGTGGGATTCTGAACAGCCCCGCCAGGATGGCCACACGGGAGCGCACTCCAGGGAACAACTCTGAGAAGCCACAGCTCTCTGTGGAGAAGCAGCTGAAAGCTCCAACGCTCATAATGCCATGTGGATGGCAACCCAAAATGTAATTCTTATTTGGACCCAATTCTGCTGTCTTTTTCAACTGTTTGATCAGATCAAAAATGAAACATTACATGTATTTTGAATAGCAAAACAAATGTTTACCTTTATTGGAAAAAAGTCCCTGAAGTGCTCCCATATTTTCCATTTTCTTACAAACGTGGTTCCTCTGCCTCCTGAGAATGGAATACATTATATATATGTAAGTAAGTAAGTAATCTTTATTTATATACCACCAGAGTCACAAAATGATTTACAATTGTGGGCATTAGTCTCCCAGACACAGGGAGAACATGCAAACTCCACTCAGAAAGGCCCTGTTCCCACCGGGATTTGAACCCAGGAACTCATTACTGAGAAGCTAGAGTACTACCCACTCAGCCACCGTGCCGCCCTCAATGTAACACAAGTGAGAGAATAATACAATTTATAATTATTCAACCTTTCTCAGGGGTGTGCCAGTCCATTGCCAGCCACAGAAGGGACAATGCAGCCAATGGCCACAGAGACGTGAACATGAGATAGACGCTCAGTATAGCGCATGATAATCCTGTCAGAATACAAAGCAATATTCAATATTTCTGTACAAAAGTTTGGTGATTTTCAAAATAGATGTGCTTTAACTTTAATTGCAGTATGGAGACACCTTTAATAGTTCTTACCCATGAACAGGAACGAGAGCACCCACTGGAGAACACTGAGTGCTTCTATCACCTCCTTCCACTGACTTTTTCCTGTTGCCATTCCTGCACATTTCAGACACATCAGAAACCTTCATCAGATGATTTATCATGCGGTTCTTTCCAGAGAAACGGTCGACATCATTGTGACCTACAGCTCCAGTGTCTATAATGGTTACAGGCGTCAGTAGTCTATGGTGTCAGTACTCTTACCACGACTTTAATAAGGGATTATTTATAAATTACAAACATTACAACGCATAAACAGATTACTCAAATAAATCAGTGTAGCAAGGACACTGCCTTGTACACTAAACAAAGCATCCATGCGTTGTCAAATTCCAAATAAACTGTAAATGTTTGATATTAACTTACAATGATACATATGAACATTACCTGCGGTGGTCTTCTTCTTTAGTGAAAATGATTAAAGACTTCCCCGTTCATGACAAGCACTGCACTTTGACCAGACCACTGATAACTGATCCACTCCCCCGAAAACTTTGACACACACTATTGCAATATGCTCTATCTAGATAATATAATGTCCATGAATCCTGTTTTGTTGTGAGTTTTTAAACCAAATGCAGCAGTGTAGAATCCCCTACTGCTTTTTGTGTGAGAAAACAGACTTTGGCCTCAAATCATCAGGTGTTTTAGGTGGATCTGTGGAGAGATTACATCATCATTCATTATGTACATGCTAATTAGAACATCTGACCATGTCAAAAGTAAAAATCTTACCTTGCATGTCATGGTGGAAAGGCTCCTCTGTGGCCAAAGGGGTACAGCTAATATAAAAGGTGACAGATTCGAACAGCTCTAACACATAACATTACATCTAAAGGCAGATTTGCTTTGCTTCATTGCAAAATCAGGGCCACTACTTCCTGCTTTCTCTTTGATATGCCAAATATCAAAGCCACTTCCGACATCTTTCACAATAAAAGCCACCAGTAAATAAGCAACACTTGGCCGACGTCTGTAGGCGTTTTATTGTGAAAATAAACAACTGTAAACGGGAAAGTAGTTCAGTCAGTATTGAGAATGAGGAGTTGACGTCACGGCACAGAGTCCCCCCTCCCCATCCCCCCTTTGCCGACATATTGGCTGCGCACCGGTGGCGGCAGTACAGTTTGTTTACGTGTGTTGTGAACGCGGTAGTAGCGGAGGTTCTTGCTATTCCGCACTGTTTTATCATGCCTGGAAATAACTGCTGCGTTAAAAACTGCTCCAATACCTCCCACGATGGATATGGAAAACCTAGTAACAACGGGATACAGTTTTTTAGGTTACCGAAATGGAAAAAGCATCAAGGGGAGCAATTCTCTGACCTGACAAGGAGACGTCGGATTGCTTGGTTGGCTGCAATTAGAAGAAAGGACCTTACTTTCGATCACACACCCCTGTCGACGAGAGTGTGTTCTCTGCATTTTCACTCTGGTACGTTCTCTAAAAATGTATTTATGTAGTTGTCTCTTAAAGCTAGGAAGTGTAGGTTAGCATATGTTATTATGGTTTCTGTAGTGCCTTTGTCTCTGTGTCTTTGTTACCCTCTCAGGCTGTTTCTTACTTAGCACGTGTTCTGCGAGGTCTTTGCCAGTGTAAAGCATAGATTACATAGATTGTACACATAATCTAATTATTCTGTTGTACATAAACCTTCATATGACATTATGAGGTGACCTAAAAAGTACTTGAGATGCTGTTCATGACATAGTTGCCAGTTTAAAGCATTGATTACATAGATTGTGCAAATTATTATATTAATTATATGTTGTTATTATTCTCGTGTAGGTAAACCAGCATATGAGATGTTGGAGAACCACCCTGACTGGACACCATCCCTGTTGTTAGGCCACAATGATGTACAAAAAACAGATGAAGCGAGATATCAGCGGCAAGTAAGGCGCAGGTCCCTGCCACTGGAGCGGCAGCCACCTCCAGCCCAACACCAGCCGCAGGCGCCGCCGCCTCCAGCCCTAGACCAGCTGCAGCCGCCACCAGCCCTAGACCAGCTGCAGCCGCCACCAGCCCTAGACCAGCCGCAGGCGCCGCTGCCACCAGCCCTAGACCAGCCGCAGGCGCCGCCGCCACCAGCCCTAGACCAGCCGCAGGCGCCGCCGCCACCAGCCCTAGACCAGCCGCAGGCGCCGCCGCCGCCAGCCTTAGACCAGCCGCAGGCGCCGCCGCCGCCAGCCCTAGACCAGCCGCCAGCTGACCCGGACATGGAATGTGGACTCTGCACATCTAGACGAGATGTTATCAACAATCTTCTTGAAGAAAACAGACAGCTGAAGCGTGAGCTTGATACGTACCGGATGAATGAGAACTTTCTGAGTGGTGATGATAACACAGTGAAGTATTACACGGGGCTTCCAAACTTTGCATTGTTCCAGACACTTCTACTCTACCTAACTCCAGATCTGCCTCAAGGTAGAATGAAGAAGCTCTCACCCTTCCAGCTTGTCCTATTGACTTTAATGCGCCTCAGACTGGACCTTCCAATACAGCACCTCAGCCATCTGTTTAGAGTACATAGGACAACAGTCGCCGATGCCTTTCACCATACCCTTGGTGTGATGTACGCACAGCTGTGTCCATTGGTGCACTGGCCAAGTAGGGAATGCTTATTGACCAGTATGCCACACCAGTTTGTGGAGTCATTTGGGAACAATGTGGCTGCCATTGTGGACTGCTTCGAGGTGTTCATCGAGAAACCTTCCAATGTACTAGCAAGGGCACAGACTTTTTCTCAATACAAACACGCATACACTATGAAATACCTAATCGTGATCACGCCCCAGGGTGTAATTTCCTTCATATCGAACGGGTGGGGTGGGCGCACAAGCGACAAGCATATAACCGAGCAAAGTGGTTTCCTGAACAAGCTGTTACCAGGTGACATTGTGCTGGCAGATAGAGGCTTTAATATAAGAGAACATGTGGGCATGATGTGTGCTGAAGTGAAAATACCTACATTCACCAGGGGTCGTGCTCAGCTTGAGGCGAAAGATGTGGAGGAGACTAGGGCCATAGCACATCTCAGAATTCACGTGGAGAGGGTGATCGGTGTTGTGCGCAACAAATTCAAATTCTTACACTCAACTGTACCTGTGCACATGCTTGTCAAATGTGAGGGTGAAAACCTAATGCCTTTGGATAAGATTGTCATTGTTTGCTGTGCCTTAACGAACATGTGCAAAAGTGTTGTTTGAGTACCTTATTCTTTACTGTATCTTTTATTTTTAAATAAATGCATTGAAACAACTTGATATGGTTTACCAATATTTATTGAGAAATGAATATTTTTTTTGTTACAAACGTGTGCAGTCAAAGTACTGTTTCCAGCATGTAAACATGCCCAACATAGGTAAAAATGATAATAAGAGTCATACTTTTCTTAGTGCAAAGGGACACAAAACACTGCTAAACAACGTGTGCATTCAAAGTACTGTTTCCAGCATGTAAACATGCACAGCATAGGCAAAAATGATCATAAGAGTCATACTTTTCTTAGTGCAAAGGGACACAAAACACTGCTAAACAACGTGTGCATTCAAAGTACTGTTTCCAGCATGTAAACATGCACAGCATAGGCAAAAATGATCATAAGAGTCATACTTTTCTTAGTGCAAAGGGACACAAAACACTGCAAAACAACGTGTGCATTCAAAGTACTGTTTCCAGCATGTAAACATGCACAACATAATAAAATAAATTATAACATAAATAATAATAACAAATAAGACTGTTATTAGTGCAAATGTACAAAAAAACACTGCAAAGGCACACAGCAATAACAATAATACAATTTTAAGAAATAGGAAAAACCTATTCTGCACAACAAGGGCAAAACCATGGCGTGTCACCAGAGGGTTTATTAACAAGCCCCACACAACTGAAGTGAAACCACTGGACTGGGCAGTTCTGGTTGTCACAGGCCACCATGTCACCCTCCTAATACCTAATCGTGATCACGCCCCAGGGTGTAATTTCCTTCATATCGAGCGCGTGAAATTCTGGGGGCGTGCCCCCGTTGCGCAGCCAATATGTCCGACAGGCTCAGAGCCCCCCCCAAATCACCCCAACTCGGCACGTGACTCCTCATTCTCAATCTAGATATGCGCATAACAAATGGACAAATGACATGCATTACTTACCCCCAGGGCAGAGGCAGACACAGAGCCTCAGCATTCTTCATAATGCAATAACAATAAACACTCTTCATGTTTCCTTTGCAATGAATGTATTCTCCCCACAGACATCTAATCTAAGTGTTTATATCTTTATGAATTATTCATTGGAGGAAGTAAACACATGTTTGAACTTTTCAACAATACTTGAACACAACAGAAACGCTAAAGGAAATTGGGCCTCTTTGATTATGTAAGTAGGCAAATAAAACATTAATATAAATACGCCTATAAAAAGGCTGTCTGCTGATGGCACCATCACAGAGCTTAGTGTCTGCTCTGGACTTAGCCTTTGTCCTGGGTTTCAGTTTCATTAAAAAAGACCCAGATTAGGAGGAACCCTTGCCTGAGTGCAGCGTGTATCTTGCATGTGCAGATTTTGGAATGTCCTTAACTGTCCTTTTGTGCACAGATGGGGGTGTGTCAGACCTCACAGGCAATGTGGGCCACTTGCGTCACGTGACTCATATGTAGTATATTTATTATGAATCCGTAGCTAAGGATGTTTGGTAACGCTTTATATTAAGGTGTGCTTGTTAAGTATTAATAAGATATTAATAGACATTAGCAACATGCTTATAGATTGCTTATATGTACTTATAAACATATTAATAAGCTGCTCATTTCACTATTCTCTAAATGATGTTCTAGTTCTTTTAAGCATTTAATAAGTAATTAGTAAGATACTTATTAAAGGAGGAATATGTTTATAAATATATGAATAAGCTGCTTATTAAACTATTATCGATACCATGTTAATAGGCCATTAACAATATGCCTATAAAGATATTAATACGCTGCTCATTAATAGGCAATAGTGGTAATAGGCCACTAAAAATGTGCGTTAATAAACTGCTTATTACACTATTTTGCAGTACCTTAATCTAAAGCGAGGAGCATTTTTGTTAATGCAGAAAAAAACACAACAATGATCTAAGATGTTTTTATTTATTCAAACAGCAACAATTAAAGTATAATATATGAAAATTAAGTTTGTGCCAAAAGTTTGTTAGTAACTTCAAGGAGCCATGATGAACCCACTTATGCTCCGACCTGCTCTGTTCATGAATTTGGCTTTGGCAAAACAGTGAATCAGCTGACTTCACGAGCCTGAGAGATTAGCGGAACTCGCCTAATTTTGGGCATCGTCTGGTCCTCCCGGTTCTGCGCAGTGGACGAGCTCCCATGATGCTTTGCGCCAAATACACTTGCGTGGCTGTCATGCACGTGCACAGAGGGGCCGTGCTCTGACCAATCAGAGCTGCTGATCAGAGCGAGAGTTAGAGCGGGAGTTAGAGCGAGAGTTAGAGCGGGAGCCAGACGAGTAGAGTTTGTGGCCGTAAAATGTGAATTTAAAGGACAACTCACCCTCAAATCCACTTTTTTTTTGCTGATAAACGGTATAAATGAGTGTCCAATAGTGTTGTCTACATATCCTGGTCATAATTTTGTCACTTTGGTGCAAATTAGTTGAAAGTTAAACTTTCTGCCTAAAACCATCTGTGAGGCGCCACCTGCTGGCGACCTGTATTACTACATTTACTTAATATATGGC